GGGGCCGGGGCTGGCGCCGGGGCGTCGCGGCTCCGTGCGGACCATGTATTTCCTGAGCGGCTGGCCCAAGCGGCTGCTCTGCCCGCCGGGGCGCCCGGCCGAGGCGCCGCTCCACGTCCAGGCCGATCCCCAGAGGGCTTTCTTCGCCGTGCTGGCCCCGGCTCGCCTCAGCATCTGGTACAGCCGAGTAAGTCGCGCCGCCGCCGATCCCTCCCGGCGCCCCAGCCCGTCCCGCCCCCAACTTCCCCCCGAGCTCGCACCCTGCTCCTCGCGCGGACCGCGGTCTTCCCGGCCTCGCGCCCCCGCCTCGGCAGTGTGTGTATCCGGCCAGCGCGTCCTCCGGTAGACGAAGCCTCTCTGCCGACATCGCTGCCTCCGCGGCGACCCGACGGCTGGCTCTGTGCAGCCCCTGCGCCCCTCGCCAGCCCGGACGTGCCTCCCCTCCCTGCCCCCTTCCCCAGGGGACAAATCAGTGTAAACTTGCCGCAATTAGAAATCTGGCCGCCGGGGTGCTCCCACCTCCGCTCTGCTGTAGAGGTCGCCGATGGAGAGCTAGGGAAAGCCTGTTGGGCTTCGCCCAGTGCCAGACTTGACAGGCCCGTGAGAACTTATTCTAGAAACTACAACCAGAGTTCTTTGTGTTTCAGAAAAAGTCTAGTTATCCAGCTCCCCGCCCTCCCCCATCCCCAAAAATCCCCTCCCCACTTTGAGACCAGTCCCTTTCTTTGCTGTTCTGGGACTCAGCGGAGAATTAAAGGGGGGAGGAGGGGTGGCAGCCAGCGGAAGTAAAACTCAAATCTGTCCGCGCTGCTCCTTGCTGTTAACACCTGGAAGTAATAAGGTTTGGGAAGAGCATGAACGTGGAACTGAACTCTTGTTTTTTGATTTCTGTGCGTCCCGGTTATCTTTTTTGTTTTTCTTGTATTTAATTACCGAGTAGATAAGAGAAATGACTTCAGAACTTATTGGTGGATGGGGTACGCTCTACTCTTTGCAAATGCTGTTGCAGGTCTGTCTTTAAAAGACACAGAGTTCAGTATGAAAATGTTTTTTCTTTTTTCAAAGAAGGCAGTACTAATCGATATCAGAGTGGAGGTTTTTTTTTCTTGTTTCATTGCTAACTTGACCATGTAGTGATAGGTTGTGACCTTGGCGTCCTTAGAACTGTGAAATACTGGTTTTAGTTAAGTTAAAGCTGCCAGAGCTCTGTATATTACTATTGGAATGCCAATAACGCCCTTGACTGTCCTCACACACAGCCCTGTTAAAAGTGATGATGGGATTTATGTAAGTCTTGTATCTCTTTTATGTGACTATAATATTTGAGCCCTAAATCTGATTATTTGCCATTAAGTTTTGGAGAATCTAATTTTCTAACATATATCAGAACAAACCAGGCTGTTAGAAAATTGTAATTACCAGCAAAGTGACTATTCTGTGTGCTACTTGGTTGCATTTTTGAATATATATATTGTATATCATTTGGGCCTTTAATGAGATACTAACTCATTTACGTTGTTACATGCCCACGGAGTAATTTTTAATTTGTTCAGGTTTATATAACTCTTTTCTTTCAAGGATACACAAAAAATATAATTAGAACTTGATTTTTAAATTGTTTTCTGAATTTAGTATTTAAATTCACTCTGGTGTAACAAATTATATTTGGAAAGCCTAAAATTTAATTTTTCCTTCTAAAGTAGGCAAAAGTACATGCGTGGTGCAAATGGTCAAATGATTACTAGCTGATAGGTCAGCGAACCCACCCAGAGGCACCTGAGAAGACAGACAGACCTGGCGATCTATGGAGCTGAGTTCTATTCGGACACACATGGGATTGCCATGAGTTGATTTCAACTTGATGGCAACTAACAACAGCAAAGTAGATAAACTGAATTTTAGACATACCTAAACTCTGAAAACCCTGATGGCGTCGTGGTTAAGAGCTATGGCTTCTAACCAAAAGGTCGGCAGTTCAAATCCACCAGGCACTCCTTGGAAACCCTATGGGGCAGTTCTGCTCTGTCCTGTAGGGTTGCTATGAGTCGGAATCGACTCTATGGCAGCGGGCTTGGTTTTTGGTTTAAACTTTACGAGGGATGACTAGACTAGAAGCCTGTAGACAACTTCATTCCCCTGGTAAAAGGAAGATAAGAATGTACCTAAACTTTCTTAGGAACATTGTGAATATTCTTAAGAATATATGTGTTTGGTTTTGGAGTGGGGTACTATATAAATCTAAGGCAGTCCTGAAATTTAAAATTACTCATATGTCTTTGCTTCAAACTCCTACCCTACATACAACTCCTTTCCACAGAAGCCCTGAGGCCACTACCATAAGACCTAGTATGAAAAAAGTTAGGATTCAGGAAATCTATGGGTTCAGAAGTATGGAGTTATAGTATGATGGATCTCTTTTATGTGGCCTTTTTCACTGTGGTCTTGTAACTTCCACCAAATAATTGGGTCGGATTATGCAAATAAGGTGCTTGTGGCCCTCCAATGGGATTAGATAGCTTGTTAACAAGTGCAAATAAGGTAGGTAGTGCTCTTGTGGGGGTGGGGCCATGCAAATAAGGTATATGGCACCTTAATGAAGGAATTGGTCAGTTTTGCAATCCCAGAGGTGGAAAGGAGGGATCTCACTACCACACAGAAGAAAAGACAGGGGAGCAGAGCGTGTCCTTTAGACCCAGAGTCCCAGGAGACAGAGAAGGAGAGAGAGGAGAGCTGTAACACCAGAGACAGTGCCAAACTGCAGCTGCAGAACCAGGAGATGGGCATGAGATGCCTCAATGGGCTTCCTGGCCCACAGAACAAGGCAGTTACAGTGGGTGTGCTGACCCACAGAGCAAGAGAGCTAAGAAGAGCCTTTGGACAAGGGGTTTCCTGGTGGAATAGGGTGCCTCCAGGCACTTGTCTGTGGAGCTAGGTTTGCCAACCCAGAGAGTAAAAGAGCTGAGCACCTTCGGGCAAGAGGCTTCCTGGCAGAGTAAGGTGCCCCTGGGCACTTCCTGGTAGACATAAAGAGCTTTGTAACACTACCCGAGTAGGGCAGAAGCCATGCCAAGGGCCTGAGGGGCCAAGAGGCTGAAGGCCAGAGAGAGGCCTGCCTGCGACCATGACTGAGAAGAGACTGTTACAATTGAAGAACTATATCCTGGGTCCTTCCTCATCCTAAATTGTAACCTGTTACTTACCTAATAACTGGTCCTTGGACATTAGTGTCCAAAAAAAATTCAAATCTCAAGTTGCAATATTGAAGGATTCTATGGGCAGAAGACTGAATGACACAGAAAGCATCAAAAGAAGATGGAAGAAATACACAGAGTCACTATACCAAGAAGAATTGGTCGACATTCAACCATATCAGGAGGTAGCATATAACCGAGAACTGATGGTCTGAAGGAACAGGTCCAAGCTGCACTGGCGAAAAGCAAGGCTCCAGGAATTGACAGAATTCCAGTTGAGATGTTTCAACAAATGGATGCAGCACAGGAAGTGCTCACTCATCTGTGCCAAGAAAGTTGGCCAACCAACTGGAAGACATCCATATTTATGCCTATTCCAAAGAAAGGAGGTCCAACCGAATGCAGAAATTATCAAACAATATCATTAATAATTACATGCAAGTAAAATTTTGTTGAAGATCACTCAAAAGCAGTTGCAGCAATACATCGACAGATAACTGCCAGAAATTCAAGCTGGATTCAGAAGAGGATTGGAGTGAGGAATATAATTGCTTATGTCAGATGGATCCTGGCTAAAAGCAGAGAATTACCAGAAAGATGTTTACCTGTGTTTTATTGACTATGCAAAGGCATTTGACTGTGTGAAACATAACAAATTATGGATAACTTTGCTAAGAATGGGAATTTCAGCACACTTAATTGTGCTCATGAGGAACCTGTACCTAGATCAAGAGGTAGTCTTTCAAACAGAACAAGGAGATACTGCATGGCTTAAAGTCAGGAAGGGTGTGCATCAGGATTGTATTCTTTCACCATACTTACTCAGTCTATATACTGAGCAAATAATCCGAGAAGCTGGACTATATGAAGAAGAACGGGGCATCAGGATTGGAGAAAGACTCATTAATAACCTACATTATGCATATGACACAACCTTGCTTGCTGAAAGTGAAGAGGACATGAAGCACTTACTGATGAAGATCAAAGACTACAGCCTTCGGTATGGATTACACCTCAACATAAAACAAAAATCCTTATAGCTGGACTAGTAAGCAACATCATGATAAACAGAGAAAAGATTGAAGTTGTCAAGGAT